AAAAAAAAAAAAAAAAAAAAAAAAAAAAAAAAAAAAAAAGACAATTCTAATAATGCGAGGAATGAAATGGATGGGAGAAGTGGAATTCAGAAGGGATGCCAGGAGGCACCTAGAGCAACCCAAACATGAGGAAATGATGATCTAGGGGTGGCAGTGAGAATGGAAATGAAATGCTTCTTCTGGAAAAATACTGTTAAAGAAAAACACATGAAATACTGGCCAAAGGGATTGAAGGGATGAACCAATCAAAAGTTCTGGTGTTTCTGCCTCAAGAAAAAGAAGCTTAATAGAACTGCTAACAGAAATCTGGTAGCTGGGAAGGAAAAGCAGATTTGGTCAGGAGGTAATGAGTTCAGCTCATGTGATAGGAAGGCATTCAGTGAAGATGCCCTCTAACCAGCTGCAAGCCCAGAACTAAAAATCTGAACTAGAGTTAGATAACTGATCTGTGAAGGGGACTCCTAGAGTCCATTCTCTCCAAAAAAGAGTCTCCCAAGGGTACTCAGGGTGTCAGAGTGGTTTTATACATTACTTCCTTCTGTACTAGAAAAGGACTCCCTCCCATAATTGGGAGAATGAAACAATGGTATTTACAACCAAGAATCATCTGCAGAGAAATTTATTCTTTTAGTTCTTTTACATGTAATCTTGGAGGACAGATGATAAGAATGATAAAATCATATGGCAATGGCTTCAACAAAAGAGCATTCTGCCTAGCCTGTCTGTTGTGCTTATAACTTCTTCCCACCATTCTCTTCCAGCTATATTCGTTTTAGTATGACATCATACAAACATATCATTATGCATCATCTCAGCTCTCAACAATCTGGATCAGCATACAGCTCTCAGGATTCATAAAACATGCAACAAAATGCCTAAGTTATACCATCTACAAGAAAATGGATCATTGAAAGTGCCATTATTTCTCTTTGGCTGAGCAAAAAAGCATGACAATTAACAAATGCCAAGAGTATAGAGTAATTCAGTTGGGTATGACATGTAAAAAAGCCAAAGATCATTTATTGAACTGCAATTTCGATACCAGTTTTTTATTGAAAGGTCTTAATAAAGCACCAAAGAAACATTACTGTGGCAGTATCTGAAGTCCACCAGTATCCAATCACAAGATGGAGAGTTGCAGGAGCCTGACAAGTACGGAAGGTGTGACAATCTAGGTGAGCTTCCAAGTAATTAGTGAGCTATTGAGTATAGCTCACCTGAGCTATTGAGTAACTAGCACATGTGACAGGGAAAGTAAATGCGTGTGCATCAACTTTCTGTAAATTAGGCATACCAAACATAGGGTATGTGCAAAGTACTTTATATCATCATAATCAGCTGGACTTAGAGCCGATAATCTAGAAACACTGGCCTAAAGTAAATGCCCAGGTATCTGCGCTATCTTTAATCTGAGATTAATTACCTTCTTCCTTCAAAAACATATCTCTTGAAACTTTGCCCTTATTTAACATAATCTTTTGTGAATGTGTATGAATTTTTACTGTAGCTCTTAGATGAGCTTTGGAAATTCTGAAAGGAGAAGGAGAGACGTACAGGGCAAGAACAGAGACAGAAGGAACTAGTAATCATGTAGTGTTGCCATGTAAAAGACAAATAACATTTTTAGCAAGTAAGCCCAAAATCTTTCATGGGACACACTTATACTAAAAGTTTATTCACTGTTTTTCTGAAATTTGAATTTAGGTGGGAAACTGCACTTTTATTTGCTGAATGTGGCAACCCAGCGGAATTTTCCAGGTCTTCCTTTCCCGAAGCTACACTGTCATACAAACATGGATACAGGTTAGTTTGCCCAAGCCATAACGGCTGCAACATAAACAACTCTCTTAAGAGTTACTAATGAGGAAAACCAAAACAAAACAAAACAAAACAAAAGCCAAAAATAAACTATCAAGTTGCATAAATTCTTAAATGAAAACAAAATTCATAACTCAAACCTTTGTTGGTGGCTGGTCAGGAATGCAATTAATTCGTTCCAATTCATTTACCACTGGACATTCAGCAGAAACAGGAGTGGTACCAGATGTTCCACGATCTGGGGTACTAACTGTCCCAGGATGTGTGGAACCAATTGTACTCCCAACTGGAGTACCAGTTGTCCCAGGATCTGGGGCTAGACCAAAAGCAAACATAAAATGCCATCAGACAAGTTTAATTTCACATACATTCAATAGTTCTCAACACCTCCAATTAACTCCACTACTGAGTGGGTGTCACGCTGATGACCTCAAAATTTGTACATTCACTTTATAAAATGTCACTTTGATCCTACAGACTGTATTTACTTCTGGTGTATCTCTATATCATGTCCTTCTACTCCCAACTCCCTCCCCTACAAGATAGTACGCACAAGAGCAAGGACTCCACCTTTAAACTAGAAGCTCATGAAGGTGAGAACCACCCTTCCTTTACTCTAGAAGTCAGTAAACTATGGCCTTCAGGCCAAATTAAGTTGAATCCTGGTTTATAAACAAAGCATTACTGGAACATTACACACATGCACACTACACATTATACACATTACATACTCGTTTGTTTTTAGCTGCTTTGTGCTGCAATAGCAAAATTAAGTCATAATGGCAGAGTCTGTATGTCCCACAAAATCTAAAATATTTACTATTGGTCCTTTACAGTAAAGTCTGCAGACCTGTGATCTGATCCTTTACTTCCAACCTTAGCAGCAAGGGCACACAGAACATGTGCAGTCTAAGTGCCATCCTAGTCACAGTAACTTCAACTTTGCTTGCCAAGTCAACAGTCAATCCCTGAGACAAAGAATGCTTCTGAGCAATGCCGTTTTTCTGTAAATACAAAGTCCTATATGACAAAAGATGTAAAGGGAGCCCACCAGTCTAAAAACTGACAGCTAGGACTTACCTAAGAACTAGAGAACTTTGATTTCCGATTTAAAAACCACTAAATTGAAAAGGTATTTTTATTGTATCCTAAAATAAGAGGTGAGCATTCTTAAAGGTACTCTGCAATAAATTAATAATTATATCAAAACAAAACAGTTAGGCTTTTGATTGGTTTTCTTTTCATTGGGGGTTTCAAATTCAAATTGTGCCAATGTCTGCATAATGGTTTTGGTCACATCCTCAGATTCACATAATTTTAAGAGTTGAGCAATCTTTGGGTTTTTCTACAAGAAGTACAAATTGTTGTGACCAGGGATGGGGCAGGAGGGGCAGAGAAGCCACAGGTTGACACTTGATTGCCTGGTTCTCCTAGGAAATTGCACCTAGATGAATCAGATAAAAAATCATGGATAACTCAGCATAATCCAGCTCATTTTGGGGATATAAAAATTCAATAAACAAAAAAACTTTGGTTATATGGGTATCTTCATAAGTCCATGAAAAATATGTATTATGAAAAAACTATGTATAAATCTCAAATATTTTTGGTACTAAAATAAGCTCACAGTAAATTGTTACAACATGTCTGAATAGGACCTAGCTTGAGGCATTAGAAAAGATAAGACATCAATTTGAAAAGGGCACCTATCAGAACAACATAAATTCTGCTAAAATTGAAGCAAGAACAAACATCAAATTTACGGAGAAGCTTGAGTGGAAAAATGGTGAAATCACTGATACTTACAAAAAGTTTATGGGGACGATGCCCCCAAAGAAATCAGCAGTTTACAAAGGAATAACTCATTTTAAGAAGGGCCGATATAATATTGAAGATGAAGCCCACAGAAGCAGACCATCCACATCCATTTGTGAAGAAAAAAATTAATTTTGTCGTGCCCTAATGTAGATGACTGACAAATAACAGCAGAAATAATAGTCAAAACCATAGACATCTCAGTTGGTTCCGTTTACACAATTCTGACTGAAAAATTAAAGTTGAGCACACTTTCTACTCTACGGATGCCAAAACTGTTGCATCCAGATCAGCTGCAAACAAGAGCAGAACCTTAAATGGAAATTTTGAACAAGTGAGGATCAAGATCCTCAAGTATTTCTTCCAAGAGTTGTAACAGGAGAGGAACATGGCTTTACCAGTACGAGCCTGAAGACAAAGCAATGGCTCCCAAGAGGGGAAAGTGGCCCAGTCACAGCAAAAGCAGACCAGTCAAGAACAAAGGTCATGCAACAGTTTTTTGGGATGCTCAAGGCATTTTACTTGTTGACTTTCTGGAGGGCCAAAGAGCAGTAACATATGCGTATTATGGGAGTATTTTGAGAAAGTTAGTCAAAGCTTTAGCAGAAAAATGCCCAGGAAAGTTTCATAGAGAGTCCTTCTCCACCACCACAAAGATCCTGTTCATTTCATCATCAAACAAGGGCAATTTTCCAAGAGTTTCAATGGGAAATCTTTAGGCATCCATGTTATGATTCTTATTTGGCTTCTTTTGACTTATTTTAGTTTCCTAATCTTAAAAAAATCTGTAAAAGATACTTATTTTTTTTTTTCAGTTAATAATGTAAAAAGTACTTCAATAAGAAGGTTAAATTCCTAGGACCCTCAGTTCTTTATGAATAAACTAAATGGCTGGTATCATCTTTTACAAAACGTCCTGAACTTGATGGAGCTCACATTGAGAAAAAAGGTTTATTTTTTATCTTTCTTTCTATTTTTCCACAAATTTTTTGAAGTCTCTCATATACTCACTTGCTTGCCTTTCACATGAAGGTATCGTTAATTACTATTGTAAGCAGAATTAAAGTCATTTAGTGAAATTTGAAAAATATATTTAAAATGTTAATTATGGAATCCTGCAATGCATTAATTAAGAAATCAAAGAATCAGAACTTAAACCTACAATGAATACCTACTGAGCTGCCCAAAACACATAGAACACTCACATATAACAGCCCCCCAACAAACACACACACATGAGTATGAAAGCATTACTTTCCTGCCATTGATGAAGGTTTGCTCTAAAAAGAATAATATATGGAAAGAGCCCCAGAGTTACTCCTTACCTGTTGATTTCAGTGACTCTTTGGCTAAAAGCACAATTAGAACAACACTGATGATAAACACCACAAGCAGAAGAACACTGAGCACAAGCTCCAAAGTAGTAAATTTTTTCAGCTTTTTTCTTGCCATCTCTAAAAAATAAGAGAAAAAAAATTTAGATTTCAATTTGATTTACTATATGACTAGTAAGATTTTCAATGGAAAAGTTCAAATGTATAGAATCAATACTATAACAAACTTCTCAGGCATCCATTATCTAAATTTAAAAATTATCAACTCATGGCTGATTCATTTTGTCTTTATTCTTGCCCACTTTTCTCCCTGCCCATGAATTATTTTGAAGCAAATCTCAGGTCTCATATCCTTTAATCTGAAAATGTTCAGTATATTTCTTTAAAAGATAAGAAATTTTGCAAAAGACAAAAATATTGTCATACCTAAAATATGTTTACAATAATTCTTTGCTATCGTCAAATATCTAGTCAATTTTGATGATACTGATTCCTCCAATCCTTGAGCATGGGATGTTTTACAATTTGTGTCATCTACAATTTATTTCATCAGTGTTTTATAGTTGTCTGTAGAGATCCTTCACCTCCTTGGTCAAATGTGTTATTAGGTATTTTATTTTATTTTTATTGTAAATGGGATTGAGTTCTTGATTTGGTTCTCAGCTTGTTATTGGTGTATGGAAATGCTGCTAATTTTTGTACATTGATTTTTGCGTCCTGAAACTTTACTTAAGTCATTTATTAAATCCAGGAGTCTTTCGGAGGGTTTAGTTTTCTAGGCATAAGATTATATCATCAATGAACAGAGATAATTTGACTTCCCCTTTTCCAATTTGGATATCTGTTATTTTCTTCTATTGCCTGATTGCTGTAGCTAGGACTTCCAGTACTATGCTGAATATGAGTGGTGACAATGGGTATCCTTGTCTTGTTCCTGTTATTAGGGGGAGTGCTTTCAATTGTACTGAACTTTTCCCTGTTCAGTATGATTTTGGCTATGGGTTTGTCATACATGGCTTTCATTATTTTGAGGTATAGTCCTTCTATGCCAAGTTTGTTAAGAGTTTTTTCATGAAGGAATGCTGAATTTTATCAAATACTTGGAGGACTGCCTTGTGTTTTCTAGAATAAATTACTCCAATTCTAGTCTTTCTTGCCAGGACTGTCTCCACTATCTCACATTCCAAAGAGCTTCATAAGAAATCCTATAAAATTAAACTTGCTTGTTAAATTCCATAAAGATTAATAATCTCTCATGCCTGATATAATTAAATTAACTAATAAACCAAAGAGTCACTGATAAGGAGTTAGAATGTCTATCAAAGTTATGATATCTCCTCTTTGTTGGATGCAAATAGTTGTGAGATGTCAGATTGCTCTCTATAATAATATTTAAATTTTTTCCAAGTGTTTATTAACACATATGTTAGACACTATGAAGAATGTGACAACAAATTGCTGGTCAAACTATAAACACCCTATGCTCAATGAAGACTTGGCAACAACTATAAAAATTACTCATAGTCATTACCCAGCAATTGCATTTATAGAAATTCATCCCATAAATACATTTACACATTTGGGAATATACACACACACAAATAAAGGTTTTTCATCACGGCATTACATGTAATAGCAAAAGATTGAGGACAGTGTAAATATTCATAGAGACAGTACTCAATAAATATGTGAAATAAAATATAATTCAATGTTATTTAAAATAATGAGATGGCAGGTGTTTTTAATTTCACAAATTTTTGATACTCCTCTCTTCAAGAGGTAAGCTGAGTTTCCACCACCCCACCCTTTGAGGATGAGCCAGATTTAGTGACATACTTTCAATAGATAGAATATGGAGAAGGGATGGCATCTAACTTCCAAGACTATGCATTACAGCTTCCTCCTTGCTCTTTCTTTTAGATCATTTCCTGAAGAAACCAGTTACCATGCCATAACACTCAAGCAGGACTTTGGAAATTTCTAGCAAAGAACTGAGGTCTTCTGCTAAGAGCCATCTGAGTAAGCTCCCTTGAAAGCAACCCTCCATCCCCATTCAAGCCTTCACATGACGGCAGTCCTGGCTGACATCTTGTCCAGACTCATGAGAGACCCTGAATCAGGACCACTCAGCTAACCCACTCCCATATTTCTGACCTACATAAATTAAGAGATAATAAATGTTTGTTGCTTCAAACTACAAAATTGTAAGGTAATTTGTTACCCTGAAATAGGTAACTAATATGCACACATAAATATGACTTTTAAATAAAATACCATTAACATTTTTTAAAAGACTTCCTTGCCACTTATCAATAGTCCTTTTGCTCCATATATTCAAATATGGTTATTTCCTCTATGGAACAATATCTATTTTCTAGCTATACAAGAGAAAGATTTCCTTAAACCTTAAAAAAAAATCTCCAGAATTATCAGATTGACCTTACTTCCCGCATTATAGAACACTTGATGGTGAAGCCTCCTACCTCAGTTAGGAATGCAATTGAAGGAAAACTAAGATCAAGAAAAATGGCAAGGGGCAAATAAAAAAGGAAATAATTTAAATAGGGTTAAGTGCTTTTGAAAGAATTAAGTGCTCTTAAAAATGTTTTTTAAAAAGCTGCTACTTGGCAATCTGTCCTTAATCTTTGACTATTATTTTTGTATAGCACAAATATCTAATTGTGCAATTTTAATGTTAATGATAATAATGGTTAACAGTAATTGAGTAGATATCCTAAGAGGTTTCCATAATTTGTCAAATGCAATTTTTAAAACAACTGCAAGTTAATTATGGCTACTATCCTCACTTACAGATGAAAAAATTAAGCTTCAGAAACATCAAATAACTTGCCTGATGTCATACAGCTGATAAGGAACAAAGCCATAATTTGAACACTGCCCTTTGGACTCCACAGCCAGGGCTTTTAACCATTACTCTATATCCTATGCTACAATGCCCCACAGTATACACGAGCTTGGCCTTTCTGTGAGATTGTAGTTTTATCAAATAAAACCATATTAAGTTTACGACACACACCACTGTTTTAAATTATCTGGGAGACCTAGAAAAATCTACTGATGTGTCTTATTTGTCACATTTATTCATCATCAAGTTATCCAAGCTATATCTCTGGAAGAAAGAAATCTGCTTGCAGTTTATTCATTCATGAATTATTTATTAAGTCCCTACAGTGCCAAGCATCCTTTCAAAAACTGTCTATACAGCTATGATCAAAACAGATAAAAATCCCTGCCTTCATGAAACTTAGTTCTTGTGGGTAGCAAAAAAAGACAATAAACAAAATAAATAAATATATAGTAGGTTATACTGTTTAAGAACTATGGAGAGGCCGGGCGCGGTGGCTCACGCCTGTAATCCCAGCACTTTGGGAGGCCGAGGCGGGCGGATCACGAGGTCAAGAGATCGAGACCATCCTGGTCAACATGGTGAAACCCCGTCTCTACTAAAAATACAAAAATTCAGCTGGGCATGGTGGCGCGTGCCTGTAATCCCAGCTACTCAGGAGGCTGAGGCAGGAGAATTGCCTGAACCCAGGAGGCGGAGGTTGCGGTGAGCCGAGATCGCGCCATTGCCCTCCAGCCTGGGTAACAAGAGCGAAACTCCGTCTCAAGAAAAAAAAAAAAAAAAAAAAAGAACTATGGAGAAAAAGTTGGGCGGGGAGGGAGTGAGGAATGTTGGGGTAAGGGTTGCAATTTTAATTAGGTTGGTCAGAAAAAAAATCTTACTGAAATGTAAGAATTATTACTATATATATATAGGAATGCTTTTACACTGTTGGTGGGAGTGTAAATTAGTTCAACCATTGTGGAAGGCAGTGTGGTGATTCCTCAAGGATCTAGAACCAGAAATCCAATTTGACCCAACAATCTCATTATTGGGTATATACCCCCAAAATTATAAATCATTCTATTATAAAGATCCATGCACATATATGTTTATTTTAGCACTATTTACAATAGCAAAGACTTGGAACCAATGCAAATGACCATCAGTGATAGACTGGATAAAGAAAACGTGACACATACACACCATGGCATACTATGTAGCCATAAAAAAGATTGAGTTCATGTCCTTTTCAGGGACATGGATGAAGCTGGAAGCCATCATTCTCAGCAAACTAACACAGGAACAGAAAACAAAACGCCACATGTTATTACTCATAAGTGGGAGTTGAACAGTGGAACATAGGGACACAGGAAGGGGAACATCACATACCAGGGCCTGTCAGGGGATGAAAGGCAAAAGGAGGGAAAGGATTAGGACAAATACCTAATGCATATAGGGCTTAAAACCTAGATGATGGGTTGATAGGTCCAGTAAACCACCAGGGCCCATGTATACCTATGTAACAAACCTGCCTGTTCTGCACATGTATCCCAGAACTTAAAGTAAATTTTTAAAAAAGAGGTTGGGCACAGTGGCTCATACCTGTAATCCCAGCACTTTGGGAGGCCAAGGTGGGTGGATCACCTGAGGTAAGGAGTTTGAGACCAGCCTGCCCAACATATTGGGCAGTCCCTACTACATAGTGAAACCCTGTCTCTACTAAAAATACAAAAAAAATAGCTGGGCATGGTGGCAGGCACCTGTAATCCCAGCTACTCCAGAGGCTGAGGCAGGAGAATCACTTCAACCCAGGAAGCAGAGGTTGCAGTGAGCCAAGATTGCACCATTGCACTCCAGCCTGGGCAACAAGAGTGAAACTCCATCTCAAACAAAAACAAAAACAAACAAATAAAAAAAAAAAAAAAAAAAATTATAATATATACATATCATGCAAAATCAATAGAAATTTTTTTCTTCTTGAATTATTTCATATACGAATAATTGTCAAAGCTCATTGTCCTGGTATTGTTATAGTTCTTTAGGCAAAGTAGACAGATAAACCACATGGGGGCCTAAATTATTTAAATGGCTATCTAAATTAATTTGGAAAAACTGGATATTTGTCCTCTTTGCAGTATTATAGCCATTGTTTGATTTGTATATGGAGGTCTAAGCCATTCTTTTAAAATCCTTTAAAATCATTTGCTAACACAAGGCATGAGATCTAGTGGAAAAGAAGATTCATTGTAGATAGATCAAGAACAACTTGCAAAGAAGACCCCGGCAAGTCATGGCCATTCATCAAAAATGCTGGGCAGGCCAAGTGCAGTGGCTCACACCTGTAATCCTAGCACTTTCAGAAGCCAAGGCAGGTGGATCACAGGTCAAGAGATCGAGACAATCCTGGCCAACGTGGTGAAACCTCATCTCTACTAAAAATACAAAAATTAGCTGGATGTGGTAGAGCGTGCCTATAGTCCCAGCTACTCAGGAGGCTGATGCAGGAGAATTGCTTGAACCCAGGAGGCAGAAGTTGCAATGAGCCGAGATCGTGCCACTGCACTCCAGCCTGGCAACAGAGTGAGACTCCATCTCAAAAAAAAAATTGCTGGGCAATATTTAGTGGGTTGGTCTATCATGTCCCAGCTGCTTATGAAGGAAAAAGGTAGCTAATAAATGGCTTTTTTTTTTTTTGCAAGTCTGATCACATCCAAAGTGAGAAAACTAAGAGTCAGCTCTGACCCTAACCAGCTGTGTAACCTCGGAAAAACCACTTAACCCCTTTGGGACTTAGTTTCCCCATCTGATCTGCAAAGGGATCATCTCTAGGAGACAGCTAACTCCTCCTTTAGCCTAGCACCAAGGTGTACAAATGCTTATATTTTTCATGACATTCCACAGCTCCCACCTGAACCAATTTTAAATGGAAAATTTCTTCTTCTACTTCGATTCCATGCTTATAGAACAAGTTTTATAGTAATTTTATAGCTCATTAAAACTTATTTGTGAGGGAATGCCTGATAATAAAAAATAATCATTGACATCTTGTGAAAGTGAGTGAAATACCAATTAACGGTCTTAAATTTAGTACACCACTTCATTTGGTCCCTGGTAGCACAGGGACCTACCCAGTACAACAAACCAAAGACTTCCTCCATCTCACCCCCTCTTTGCACGCCTACAGACATACACTTACCGTCCCATACCAGGACACAGACTGTAGACAGTTTGGATATTGGGAGGTCCTGCTTGTCCAGCAAAGCCACTGATCAGATCCTGCATCAAGAACCTACTGATACCCTTTTTCAGGGAGACCCATGGGAATTAGTCTCAACTTATCTCTCTTTCCCCAAGTGTAACTCTCCCTTCCCATCTCTGTAACCAGTCAGAAGAGAAATGAATACATGTGTCTAGCTAGACTCTAGCAACTAGTAAGGATCCAACTTTTTTTTTTTAATTTTATCATTGAGGGCCAACAACAATCCATCACCACCTCCTCTTCCCATGGGCACTTCCATTCTACTCCACACATGACTGCCAGGACGAATACCCTACCTGTCTCTTTACGACCTCCTTCCAGATTCTGCAGGGAGACTCCCCTACCCTCAATGCACACCACCTCATAAATGCATCCCAATATTTTACATACACACGCCCTCAGACTATTCCCTAAAATTATTTGGCAATTGATCAACAGAGTCACCAAACTCACAAGCATAGTGATAGAGTTCTCAGTTTTCTGACTATAATTGGTTCGCCAATGGCCTTTTCTCAATCACGACTCCATATCCTTTCAGAAGGAATATCTCAAAATAGGAAGGAAAATCTCACTCCCAAATTCGAACTCCTTTTATTCATTTCCCTTACCTCATTTCCAGAATCTGGATTTCTGCCTGCTACCTCAACCTATTAAATAATTCATCACACCTCACACAGAAACACACACAAACACACAGGTGTTGCTACAATCAGGCTTATAGATCCAGCCTTAGTTCAGAGGAATATACACACACTAAGAAAAAAAGTTAAATGAGAAGAATTTTGTTCCATGTGTGTGCATGTGCATAATTTTTTGATTTATTGTTGGTATTGTTTATCCTTGTCTGTGTTTAACAAATTAACAAGGGTATTTTGACTAAAAGAGATCCACACCAATTCACACACACTTGTAGACACACATACATGAACCCAAGGTTCACAAACATACCTCATTACCTCCTGCAGCCGCTCCCTCTCTGCCTGAAGGATGGCTTAGCAATAAAAGCAAAGGAGCACAGTCCACCAAAGCAACCAAAGCCCTGGTAACTATTTACTGACCTATCATGAAAATGTTAATGGATTTCAAATGCAAATGAATGTCCAGATTTATCTCCAGGATTAGAATTTTTAGTTAATTAGTAATCATGGTCTTGCTCTAAGAAGGACATCCCTAAGACTTTGGAAGGAAAAGCCACCCCTCATGATTGATCCACTTCATCCCCTCCAGGTACTGAATGGTTATTATGTGGTGGGGATACTCAGTTTGCCTGGTAAGAGAACACAGACACAGTTTGTAAACTTGTAGATGATAAAAGCAAAAAGTAAAAAAAGACCAGTAAAACTGCCCTGGTCTCTTGCAGTGACTCCTAATTTCTCAGGAACCCACTGACATTTAGTAGCACAATCTGATGATTGTGATGAAAGGAAATTGTTTTAAAAATAGTTTTCTTCTTTCTCACCCCTAAAAAAAGTGTCCTTAAGCTTGTTTGCAGTATGGAAATCCTTTAATAGTCTGGTGACTCTTGAACTGCCTCTGCAGAATTATAAATAAGAAAAATCTAACTTGACTGATTCCATCTTGCTTCCAGCCTCCCAGGCTAAATTGGGTTTTCTGGGGGCAGGTGGAGGGGAGGGGGGTTGTGTGGTTGGCTTTTTGCTTATTCTAGTACAAAGGCCAAGGTAACTATGCGAGGGATTTAGTTTATAGTTAAACTTGGAATCAAGGGAAAATGATCCCCCTTTTGCCTGGAGCTTAAACCGGCATTCATGAGGCAAGGTTGGAATTACGGTAGGGGCTTGGACTTTGCTAAAGAATAAGCATAAACAATCTCCTGCCATGGCTTAGTTTGTTTTTCTATAAGTTGCTTACTGCTCCAGAGTCACATAATCAGTGTCACAAAATTTTTAACTTCCCCAGCAACCAAAGATAGCGTCACTGCATTGGTCTGTTTTCACACTGCTATAAAGGTATACCTGAGAGAGTTTTAGTTGGCTCACAGTTCCCGCAAGGCCGGGGAGGCCTCTGGAAACCATCATGGTGGAAGGGGAAGCAGGCATGTCCTATATGGCGGCAGGTGAGAGACAGCAAGCAAGAGCAGGGAAAACTGCTTTATGAAACCATGAGATCTCATGAGAATTCACTCACTATCATGAGAACAACTGTCCCCATGATCCAATCACCTCCCACCTGGTCCCTCCCTTGACACGTGGGGGCTATGGGAATTACAATTCAAGATGAGATTTGGGTTTGGACACAAAGCCTAACCATATCAATCACTATAGTGAAACTTAAATAACTGGTATTTTAGATATTTGTCAGCATTTCAGTAGACCAAGGGACACCAGCTAGTCTTGAGACCCCCCACACATACACACCCTTCCTGGGAACTGACTCAGCTGCACAAAGAGAGTTTTAGGTGCTCCTGTGATTTCATCCCCCACCAATCAATTGTACCAGTTTCCCAGCCCCGTGCCCAACAAAGTACCCTTTAAAAACCTTAGTCTTTGAATCCTGGGGGAGATGGGTTTGAGAAATTTCTCCCTGTCTTGTTTGGCCAGCCCTGTGAGTATTAAACTCTCTATTTGCTGTACTGCCTGCTGTTCCACTGATCTTTTTGGGGGGAAGTGGACAAGAAGAACCCACTGAGTTAAGATACGCTTATAAACCTCTCTTAGAATTAATTTTTAGGCCAGGCACAGTGCTCATGCCTGTAATCCCAACACTTTGGGAGGCTGAGGTGGGTAGATCACTTGAGGCCAGGAGTTCAAGACAAGCCTGGCCAACATGGTGAAACTGCATCTCTACTAAAGATGCAAAAATTAGTTGGTTATGGTGGCATGTGCCTGTAAGCCCAGCTACTCAGGAGGCTGAGGCAGGAGAATCGCTTGAACCTGGGAGGCAGAGGTTGCAGTAAGCCAAGATACAAAGAAAATCAATTACATTGAAATGCAGTTACTATAATATTTTTTAAATTACAGTTTGTGCCTCTTTAATGATATACTAACAATAAAGCAACATGTCTAACAGCGATTGCAATTTGGAAACGAGGTAAGCATAAAAATATTTTGAGATTGTTTTAAATATATGATGTGAAAGTAACTGTGACCTCTCTTGAAACCAAAAAGTCATAGGTACTACTAACGCCACTGTAGTTTGCAACATAACTTTAAATTTCAATTCAAATCAAAGATATGTAAATATTTTCCCCTTCCAAGTTCACAGGCTTTCAGAATTATAGCGACAAACCCCAGATATTACTAAGCGGACCTTCCTCCAAGTAGGGCAGAGGTCCCCCCTCTGTGATATTCCAAGTGTTACCTGTGAGCCTGTGGTTGCCAGCTTCCAAAGAAATAAGCACAGAAATTGAAGACACGTGTTGAGAGGCTTGCATTAAAATTTGACAGAATTATTTCATGTCATTGATCTTGATAATTAAAAAATGGAACTTATATCTGTATATGCTGGGTTTTTTATGGGTTTTTTTTTTTTAGTAATTTAGTTTTAATTTTACAAAAGCCTCAGTATGTGATATATCAGAAATTTTTAAACAATTGCTGTTTTACCACACATAATTTAAAAAGCCCTGCTCACCTAGTGCTCTTTCTAGGCATTCGTCTTTATGGACTAGCAAAAATTTGGGAAAAAAGAAACTGGTCCAAGGGACTTAAATTTATAAACCATATATGTCACCTGAAAAATATGAACAAAAGTCACTATCTCTTATCACAGTCATTTCATAGTAGATATACACAATCGAAATTAAATCAATTTATCTCTTTTGAAAAGTTTACTTCCTTATCCTTACTTTTCTTACTTCATCAACCATCTGAACACTGACTACCATGGAAACAATGACTTACTGTGTTTCTTTGGCATCATGGAATCAAATAATTTAGAGCTAAAAGAGGAAAGAAAGGAAGACTAACATGCACGGAGGCTGGCTGAGTGCCAAGACCTCGGGTTTGGAGCAGGGGCTCATAGCTATAATCCTAGCACTTTGGGAAGCCAAGACAAGAAGATCACTTGAGCCCAGGAGTTGAAGGCCAGCCTGGGCAACAGAAGGAGAACCTATCTCTACAAAAAATAAAAAATCAGCTGGGTGTGGTGGCCCACACTTATAGTCCCAGCTACTTGAGAGGTTGAAGGGGGAGGATCGCCTGAGCCTGGAGGACAAGGCTGCAGTGAGTTATGATCATGCCACTGCAGTCCAGCTTGGGTAACAGAGTGAGAGCCTACCTCAATAAAAATGAATAAATAAAAACAAGATCTGTGCCTAAATGAGCTCACTAAATGAGCTCACTGATGTTCACAATGGTCCCAAGGCAGTGAGTGTCTAATCCAAATGCACATCCACCAAGCTCCTAGGACATGTGAGTTGAATTGTTTGGTATTTCCCTTAAAGAACTTTAAGAATCACTAAGCACAGCCTCCTTGTTTACAGAAGAGGAAGTTAAGACCCAGGAATATGAGGTTTGTGTGAGTGGTGACTCAGAGTTCCAGATCCGATTGTGCCAGACTGAATGTGAAGCCCAGGTCTGCTTATTAGCTGGGGGAGTTTAAACAGCTAAGTTTCTGATCCTCTAACTTAAATGAAGATTAAGTTACCTATCCAGTAAATTTATAAACTATGTGAGTTTTATAAACAGACAAAATAATGTGAGTTTAAAAACTTGATGTTACTTAGTAAATACTCAATAAGTGTCAGTTACAATTATTATGATTATTATGCATTTGCCACAGTTGTGACAAGAGCTCAGACCCTGAATCCCCAATCCAAGGCCCATTCAAACATGCCAGTCTCTCATTCCACCCTCAATCAGAATTCTGAACACAGCAGGTAGTCATTTGTGAGGGTTCAGTCAGGATGGTTGGAAAGATTGTAAAATTATAGAATATAATCACAAGCCTTCTTAGAAGGCTGAGAAGTTTGCATAGTTTCAGTAGAAGTTTTGGCTGAACGCAGTTTAATCCCCTTTACCTTTAGTTGATAAAGAAAAGCAAATAACTAGGGAATGTGGGAGAGTTTATCTGAATGCTGGAGAGGCTGTGGAGAAACAGGAATGCTTTTACACTGTTGGTGGGAGTGTAAATTAGTTTAACTTCTGTGGAAAACAGTGTGGCGATTCCTCCAGGATCTAGAAATAGAAAAACCATTTGACCCAGCAATCCCATTACCGGGTATATACCCAAAGTATTATAAATCATTCTATTATAAAGACACATACACGTGTATGTTTATTGCAGCACTATTCATGATAGCAAAGACTTGGAACCAACCCATTGCCCATCAATAATATACTGGATAAAGAAAATGTGGCACATATGCACTATGGAATACTATGCAGCCATAAAAAAAGGATGCATTCATGTGCTTTGCAGGGACATGGATGAAGCTGGAAACCATCATTCTCAGCAAACTGACACAAGAACAGAAAACCAAACACCGCATGTTCTGACTCTTAAGTGGGTATTGAACAATGAGAACACATGGACACAGGGAGTGGACCATCACACACCCAGGCCTGTCAGGGGGTGGGGGGCTAGGGGAGGGATATCGTGGGTGGGGGGACAGGAAAGGGAAAGCATTAGGATAAATACCTAATGTAGATGACAGGGTGATGGATGTAGCAAAGCACTATGGCACATGTATACCTATGTAACAAACCTGCATGTTCTACACATGTACACCAGAATTTAAAGTATATTTAAAAAAAAAAAAAAACAGAAAAAAAGAATATATTGTTCTGTTTTACAGGTGTGCATTCCCCAAAGTGCTCAGAGGAGTACTGGCCACTCCTTAAGTCTCTGCCCACAATTTCCTCAAACTCCCTGTCAAAGACAGACCCACATGAAGAGCCCAATCTGACTGCTGAGTTCAGAAGGGACAGATGAGGTCCAGTGTACATTCTTCATTTTCCTACATGGAACATGAGTTCATGTGTTCTCCCTTCCTGGAATAAAATCCTTATAGAAAATAATAATTTTATCTGTGTGGATTTTACCGATAATTAGCTGTGGGTGGATTAGGTGTCCCTAAAAGCATCCCTTTAGTTTGAAATTGTCAAATATAAGATTTCATTCAAGATAAATCATTTTTTGGAGAGTATTTTCATGTTAAATCTTCAGATGATTTAATATAAAAATTTGGGGAATTTTTCATAAAAACTGACGAATTTTGGAAAATTTGGAGAATGCACTTTAGGGGTTCACAGCCCCAATCCAGCAGCAGGAGGATCACTTGAGCCCAGGAGTTTGAGGCTGCAGAGAGCTATAATAGCACCACTGCACTCCAGCTGGGCAACATAGCAAGACCCTGTCCCTAATAATAAAAAGAAAAAAGAAGAACATGGAGTTTCAAATCAAACTAGCCTGGGCTTAAATATGAAGTCCTCTACTTACTTTCTGCAGAACTTGGATAGTCATTTAAATTTTCTGAAGCTCAACTGCCTTATCTGGAAATTGGGGATGATCATGTGTACTTCATAGTGTTATTTTGAGCCTACGCTGACATAAGTACCTGACATCCAATGTCAGCTTCCCAACTCCTCCTCAACCAGTCTTTTCTGAAAATGAAATAATATCCAGCAAGCAGTATCATTAGCTTAAATTCTATTAAGAACTATTCCTCCAATGCCTCAACCCTTAGGAATAGCCACACTAAACAGTCAACACATCCCACACTGAACTGATTCCACAGGCCAGTGGAGAAAAACCACTACTACAAAACTCTCTCTCTCTCTCTCTCTCTCTCTCATACTCACACACACTCACAAGCACATGGCATTTACACCCCCTCCCTATCAAAATGATTTCTCACAGTCTCCATAGCCTACAAACTTTAAATTTTACCTCTGTTTTTATTGCAGCCAAGTTGTTTTCCTTCTTTTGTCCTATATAAAAGCCCTTAACATCACATGCCACCTGCAAAGGGAAGAAAATGAATTAGCTGGAGTAGGAGTAATGTATCTGCCCAGAAATGTTCAGAGGAAGGTGAAAGCAGAAACAACTTACAAGGGACATTACAGCATTTCCTTGTCTTGTGAAATGTCTATTACTTAGCAGCTTTACACTGTCTTCTATTCCTTTCCTCTCCACCACCACAGAACAGATGCACACACAGGTATGAGTACAGAGAGAATTTTAGGAATAGCACAATACCTAGTATTCACATAAAACCTTACATTTGGCCAGTGAGGCGGCTCATGCCTGTAATCCCAGCACTTTGGGTGGGTGAGGTGGGTGGATCACGAGGTCAGGGATTCGAGACCAGCCTGGCTGACACGGTGAAACCCCATCTCTACTAAAAATACAAAAATTAGCTGGGCATGGTGGCAGGTGCCTGTAATCCCTGCTACTCAGGAGGCTGAGACAGGAGAATCCCTTGACCTCGGGAGGCAGAGATTGCAGTGAGCTGAGATCGCGCCACTGCACTCTAGCCTGGGAGACAGAGCAAGCCTCTGTCTAAAAAATAAATAAATAAGACTTTACATTGTGTGATACTTTACAGTTTTCAGAATACCTTTTTTTAATTCATTTTTTTAGACAATTCTGCTCTGTCGCCCAGGCTAAAGTGCAGTGGTGTGATCTCGGCTCACCGCACCCTCCTCTTCCTGGGTTCTAGCAATTCTCCCAACTCAGCCTCCTGAGTAGCTGGGATTACAGGCATGCACCATCACACCCAGATAATTTTTGTATTTTTAGTAGAGACAGGCTGGTTTTGAACTCCTTCTCAGGTCATCCACCCACCTTGACCTTCCAAAGTACAGAAACTAAAGGTGTGAGTCACTGCACCCAGCCCCAGAGTACTTTAATCTGTACTACCTCATTGATTACAACAATCTTTTAAGATAGGGCAGTATTTTTAATGCCCATGTATAAATGAGGAAACAGATACTAAGAGGAATGAGTTGCTAAAGGTCACTCATATAGTGATGGAGTTGAACTCACACTAATTTAATTTCAGTTCAGGAATTCAATGTTCATAGGGTTTTAAATCAGTAAATATGGAAAATGGTTTTTTCAGACTTAATATCTGTTCATTCATTCAACAAATTCAAAGAGGATTTCCCACCAAGTCTCCCACATGGGAATCCCTCAAATCCTGTCAGTTGTCAAATTCTACCATCCTTACCTCAGAGATGGCTATTTCTCTTTAAACTCAAATCTTGTTCTAGAAACCCCCATCATTTCCTCCCTGGCCACCTTCCATACCTCACTGACACCTGCATGGTCCACTTCTGTGAAGGAAGATCAACATCACCCCAACCCTCTGATCATAGCGAGTGAACCAGTACTGAACAGATGACCCAACCTCGTCCAGACTGATTCACCCTCCCAAAAATGTGGATTTGAGACACATTTTTGGGAGGGTCACAAAATGGTCCCTGCTAGCCCTGCTATGACAGGTTCAGGTTGTCTTCCATTGCCCAGTATAAACAAATATCTCCACCAAAAATGTCTAATCATAGTCTAACCAATAAGCAAAAAGTTATCCTCCTGTTATCTGCATTTTTCTGGCTTTTACAACCACCTGCAAGTGTGGAACCTCCAAATCTCCAAAAGTCCCTCCCAATTGATGGACATCTCCATTGAATTTTGTTTTTTAGATGAGGGTACATGTACCCTAGGAGGTATGTGGTAGCATACTGAGAGGTTCATAATGCACTTTCTTGGAAGTTCCATTTTAGTTCAAGATTGTTGGAAAATAGTAAGTCACTTCAATCAATATTTTGAATTGCTAAAATTGTGGCAGTATAATGTAACAGTATGAAAATGTATACACAATTGTTTCGCAACCTCAAACACTAAGTTCTACAGAAATTTTCCCCTATAATGAGCCACTGGTAGGTATGTTTCCCTTCAGTCCCCTACCCCAAGGGAAAAATGTGTAAAGAATTCCATAGGAAATGTCCTAAATTCACAAACAATGTGTTATGGCCAGGTATAGTCTCTGTCATGTTTTCTGTCTTCTCTGGTTCAGCATCCTTCCTCTAGGTACCTCCCCTCTCCTAGCCTGCTCGCTGGAAATTGCCATGTCCACACTGTCTCTGGGTATGGCCTGAGCACCCGTGTCTGCAGAAAGAGGAAGAAGCCTCTAAGTGCCAGTGCTACACATGTTCTCTTACATGAAATCTGCCAGAAAGAAGCACAAAAAGGCTGTCATCCAATGGCTTAGAACTCTGTCAGCTTTTATGTAAAATCTCCTTACCCTTAGCTCATGTTTATGAACCAAACAAAACTTAAAGAGGGGTCCAGAGGTACCTCAAAAGGAGTCCCCACCCACAGATCCCTGCTGAGAAAAGTGATCTTATGTCCCTAATCACAAGGTTCCATGCTGGCATTAAAGATGCCGGGACAGGCCACACACAGTGGCTCCTGCCTGGAATCTCAGCACGTTGGGAGGCCAAGGAAGGTGGATCACAAGGTCAGAAGATTGAGACCATCCTGGCCAACACAGTGAAACCACATTTCTACTAAAAATACAAAAAATTAGCCAGGCATGGTGTTACGTGCCTGTAATCCCAGCTACTCGGGAGGCTGAGGCAGGAGAATCACTTGAACTAAGGAGGCGGCATTTGCAGTGAGTTGAGATTGCACCACTGCACTCCAGCCTGGGTGACAGAGCGAGACTCCCTCTCAAAAAAAAATATATATATATACATATATGCTGGGACCAGGGATGGGCACCTAACCTAAAGACAGCCAATCCTAAAATTGGCCTATAACTCAGGAAGTGCCCCACTGGGTGACCCACTCAACCACTCAGGTTCTCTTTTTTCAGTGTAAGACACAGAGAGAATTGCTAGCAGGATCAATCAGTAGCAAGAACAAAATGAAAAAATAGAAAAACAGAAATAAAAATTGTGTGAGAGAATCTTTAACCACATGTTCTCATACCATTATCACTCTGCCAACCTCCCTGTAACAAATACGTGTGGACAAAAACAATATGCCTTAAAATGTAGGAAGTAAAGACAGCTTTTCTTTGGTTTCCTCTGTTGCACTTCTTGTTTCCCACCTCTTCTTGACAAGCAAACGTAGACAAGAAGCAGGCTGCCCTTCTCTCCATTCCACCCTTGGCTTCACATGTTTAGATGGGCAATTAGACCCAAGATCCTTCTTGCAGGCAAGTTTGCTCTTCTTTCTCTCTTTCTCCAAATAGTAAGTAATTCTCTCTCTCTCTCTCTCTCTCTCCCTCCCTCCCTCCCTCCCTCTTACTTCTCCTCTCCCTCTCTCCACTCTTGCGCATTCTGGTCCCAAGGTATAGGTTTCATACTGGATAAGTTAGTAATTGCATTCAGCTTCCAGTATTAATGTTCCAAGCATTGTGGCTTAAGGACATAAGAGTTTCCCATTATCAAGTAATGATAAGGCTGGAAGAGAGTAGTTGCTGGTATAGTTTCAGCCATCAAGGATTTCAGAGTGAAACCTTTGAGATTATCTTGGCTTTTCCCTTATGGTTAGAGTCCAACAATACATTCAAGTTCAGACACAGAAAAAGGAAAAAGCAACAAGGGCTTTCTATGAAATTCCATCCAATTACTTTTTCTTGTGTCATTTGGACATTCCTATTTGAAAGAAGGATGAGATTTGTAGTTTTTTAAGTTAGAAATACTGACCTGCCTAAGAAACACAGAAGTTCCATTGATAATGGAGAGACTACTGCATGGGCAATTAATTGGTAGTATCTACCCTGGAAAGAATGGCAAGTTGGATATGTGGATTCTACCTGGGCCTACTGCTTGCTTCAACCCAACTGGTACCAGGGCTTTGCAGCGAGAGCTGTTGGGTGCTGCTGTCACATTTAAAAGAGTAATACCCATATTACACACCCTTTCATTGCTGTTCTTCTCATGTCACAGGAATAACAGGCAGAGCTGGATTTGGGAATTCCTGGGACTCTTGGCACCATACCAGACAAAAGCATCAAAGCCCTTCTTCAATTTCTAACAAGAGTCTGAATCTCACTGACAGTGGAACATTCAAGTAAATGGCAATTAACTCCTAGTGCTAAAAAAAAAAAAAAAAGAAAAGAAAAAAAACATGGATCCTGAATAAAGTTTCACCACCCAAGTGATGTTTAATCTCTGTGAAATGTGGCTCATTGCTGAAGTCCTGGAAAATCTCTTTCTCTGTATATCCCAGTAGTTGTCAAACCTGAGTGTGCATCAGAATCACCTGAATGGCTTGTTAGAACACAGAGTCATGAACACCTTCAGAGGTGTTTATTCAATAGGTCAGGGGCCTTGCATTTCTAACAAGTTCCCCAGTGATCCTGGTCTCCCTAGTGTGGGGTACCTTAAACCTCGAGAACTATTGATGTAGCTTATAAAAATCCATATTACTGGAGCTCACCTAAATGAATCTTGACTGCTTGCAGCCAAAAGGGCCTACTTCATAAACTGTTCTTTGGATTCCGACAGAAGTCCATAGGACTGGAACAGAGGTCAAGGCCTCATGGCAAACACCATGTTCACCAGAACAAAAAACTGCCTACACTTTGGTGCCTACAGTTTTGTTACTGGATCATTTCACTACCTAATTTTTTCTTCTCTTAGGATGGGTGCTCTCCAGAATGCTATACAATGCAGGCTTTGATCTTCAGTGCAGAAAACATGTTAGACTCCCAGGAGGCCAGATGTGGTGGCTCACATCTTTTATCCCAGCACTTTGGAAGGCTGAGGCGGGCAGATAGCTTGAGCTCAGGAGTTTGAGATCAGCCTGGGCAACATGATGAAACCCTGTCTCTACAAAAAATACAAAAATTAGCTGGACATAGAGGCATGTGCCTGTAGTCCCAGGTACTTTGGAGGCTGAGGTGGGAAAATGGCATGAGACAAAAGCTGTAGTGAGCTGAGATCACACCACTGCACTCTAGCCTGTGCAGCAGACTGAGTCCCTGTCTCATAAAAAAAAAAAAAAAGAATTAAAAAAGAATCCCAGGAGTGAATTCTTCTAGATTTAAGCAGGGCCAATATACCTACAT